ACACACACACACGCTCTCTCTCTCTCTCTCTCTCTCTCTCTCTCACACACTCACACACACACACACACGCTCTCGCTCTCGCTCTCTCTCTCTCTCTCACACACACACACACACACACATCTGGTGAAACCACGCTCCTGCTCGCCACGTCTTCTGCTCGTTGTGGCATGATAACGATCGGATTGAGCAAAGTGTGTGTCGGAATTGGAAGTATTTTGGGAATCGTTCGGTTAAAGCATCTGTTGAATCGATCAGTAGCGTGGTTTCTCTGCGTGAGCTTCAGTAGCCTAGCTCTGCACAATCACACTCCTGGGTCAAAAATGAGTTTGATGCCAATGTCTCTTCAATTGGCAGCCGGTTCAACAGGAGCACAGGAGCCTCATCTTGCCGTTTTTCACCCAGAGTTGTGTTTGTGCTGTAGTTTTAGTCCTGTAGTCTTTGTGCCCTCTAGTGTTGCAGTTCCACACCAAACACTGACGCAGTCCGGCTGGAGTAGTTACTAGTCGAGTGTGTGTGTGTGTGTGTGTGTGTGTTCATGACAGTACAATGAGACGTGTTTTTCTCTCTCATTGATACTGATGCTCTCGCTCATAATAAATGTTTTATTTGTTTTTGCATCTTTTCTCTTCAGTTGTTGTTTTGGGGGGGGGGGCAGTTCAAATTCTCACAAATACGTTTTGGGCAATAAGTTGAATGACCGAGGAACAGAAGATCTTCAAATTGTTGCCATATGATCCTGATGGAGACAACCAAAAAGGATGTGAGGCTGTGTCTTTGCAGCACTTGACCTGATATCTGTATTATTGAAACTATGCCCTGTGTGTAGTTTGTCGTTATTCCAAACTATTTTTGGTCAGAATCACTTTGTGTTTTACTCCGTTAACAACATAAAACAGGCTCATCAAACAGGGTTTGTGTACTATTTAATCTTTGTGGAAATAGTTTCAACTGAACGTGATCTGAACAAATTGATCCCGTGAACCTCACAAAAGACCTTTACAAGGCCTCTGCTAAAGACCTCAAACGTGAGCCACACTCAAGCTGTGAATGTTGAATATCATGATGTACTAATAACATCTGAGGTACGTCTGAGAATCGGCACCGCTGCTCTGTTCCTCACCTGACCACTGTCTTTAGTGGAGGAATAGGATTTAACTTTTACATGTGTTTGAGATGGTTATTGTCAGCTGCAGGTGTCGTAGTGTTAGCTTCAGCATCACAATCGAACACACTCTCTCTTCACTGGTGTAGATGTTCTCTCTCTGTCTGTCTCTTCACGTGTCTGCGGTCTCTCTCAGGCGTGTAAAGCTCAGCCCGGGTCGTCAGGTGGGGCTCATGGCTCCGGTCAGTCGCTGCCCCCCCACGTGAGTCCACTGGATCAGGCTGAGGATCAGTCCAGTCCAGCCAAGAAGAAGAGGACTGCCAGCCCAGCCAAGGTTTGTGCTCCGTCTGCTCCGCTCAGCGCATCGCTGATATAATGACAGCAGTAATAATCACATCTCTGTCTCTTCACATCACTCCTCAGAGTTCTACAGAGTCTTGGACCCACAGTTCAGCACAGCCACCAGCTCCCAACTGGTACCCGTCTCCTCAGAAGCTGCAGGTGAGAGCATGATGAACACCTCATTAGGGATGGAACGATTACTGGTTTGATGATAAATCATGATAAAATTCCCCACAGTTAGTATTGTAACGTTGGCGCAGTTGCAGCTTGTACTTATTAAAACAAATAGAACAAGAAACAAGTAGCATTAATAGTCAGTCATTTATTTTAGTTAAGATTTGCTATGGTAAGTTTGAACAGATTTTTATTGTAAAATAATAGAACATTAGGTCATGAATATTTTCTCAAAAGTCATGGAAATGTATTGGTAAAAATGTGTGCGAACCCTGCCTTGGGCAGTGCTTCTCACACAGGAGATCTTCCAATCTGTTTTTCCTGATGTGACATCCATGACCGTTACTGAGCTGTTTTGGGTTGACCACCTTTATTGTGAACGCTGATGATTATTGTCAGTGGTTTAATCCGTCGGTCACTCTTCGTCGTCTTCCACTCAGTTGCTGGAGCAGTTGCGAGTCAACCGTGCGAGTCTGAAGCCGCTTCAGCTGCAGATGTTGGAGCAGTTGGAGGCTCAGCTGTCAGCCATGCACCAGCAACAGGTACATCAGACCAGGACTCACGAAAACGTCTGAAGAAAAGAGTTTGAATCATGAGAAGTGCATTTGAGAATTCTTCAAACTCGCGGTTCTCTGTGATGCATCGTCTTCTCAAGACTGTGGTGACACATTGATTTTAAGGCTGTTTGTTTGACTTGCGCTTTCTTGACCCGTAAGTTTACAGTTGGATGTAATTTTTACCTGCAGATGAAGCAAAGCTCTTCTGGGCAAATACGAGCCAGCCTCCCCAACGGCCCCTCACTGCCTGCTCACCCCGCTCCGCTGTTAGCCAACGGCCCGCAGCCCCCTTCAGTCGGCAATAATCACACGCCAGGAACCAGAACCAACGGAGACGTGCCTTACCTGCACCCCAACACACTACCTCACAACTGCACAAGCCCAGGAGACACATGGAGGAGCCAGCGTCTCAACTCCACTCAGGTATGCACTTATACTCAAAACTGAGAGTTCAACACAATATAGAACAAACATGTGGTCATGACCCCGCCGCCTCCTGCACACCTCAGACCTGACAGGAACAATGAGATTTTCAGAGACATTGATCCATAAGTGTCTTTAGTGTGAAACATATCTCATCTAATGTACTTCAGCTTCAGTATTTAAAAAAACAAGACACCTCCTGAGCGTTAGAGACATGACTAAAAACCTGTCTGAATGATGCAGGTCTCAATAGTAGATTATCTGAACTATGTGCAGAAACGGCTTAATGCTAGCCCTAATCTGCTTCTGGTTCAAGATCTGAAAAATTGTTTAAGTGTCTTTAGTGTGAAACATATCTCATCTAATGTACTTCAGCTTCAGTATTTAAAAAAACAAGACACCTCCTGAGCATTAGACATGACTAAAAACCTGTCTGAATGATGCAGGTCTCAATAGTAGATTATCTGAACTATGTGCAGAAACGGCTTAATGCTAGCCCTAATCTGCTTCTGGTTCAAGATCTGAAAAATTGTTAGTATTCCATAATGTCATTGTTTTCCTCAATGCACAACATAAACATCTAAAAGGTTTTAAAGGGATAGTTCACCCAAAAGTGAAAATTCCATCATTAATTACTTGCCCTCATGTCCTTTCAAACCTGTTGGACCTTCATCTTTGGAACACAATTTAAGATGTTTTTGATGAAATCCGAGAGCTTTCTGACCCTCCATAAACAGCAATGCGACCGACACGGAAGTGAAATCCTTGAATTTTTTTTTCTTTGCGCACAAAGTATTCTTGTAGCTGCGTAACAGTACGGTTGAGCCACTGATGTCACATGGACTATTTTACCGATGTTCTTACTATCTTTCTGGGCCATAAAATGTTTCAGTTGCGTTGCTGTCTATGAAGGGTCAGAGAGCTCTCGGATTTCATCAAAAACATCTTAATTTGCATTTCGAAGATGAACGAAGGTCTTGCGTGTTTGGAACGACATGAGGGTGAGTAATTAATGACAGAATTTTCATTTTTGGGTGAACTATCCCTTTGTGACCCTTTAACTAGCAAAAAGGCCATGTTTAGCTGTGCCCCACATTAACCTGTTACCTCATGACTTCCCTCTTAAAGCAACATTAATTCTACAAATCTGACATCCAGCAGGCAACACTTTCTGTGTCATGGGACGATCATAAGCAAATAATCTCATCACGTCTTTTCATTTTCACATTTTGTGTGGAGTGCGTTGAAACTTGGCAACACGCTTCCTGAATTACAAACCCAAAAGCAGCGTTTATCACTTTCTCTCCTCGTTTATGTTTGAGTTGACTTGAGCTTAATAATGGCACTATTGTTTTTTCGATCTGAGTGTGATCTGACTCCATTATTGAGTTTCTATTGATTCTGGTGGTGGTGACTTCTGAATTTCCTCCCGATTCAGGGGCTTCAGAAAGGTCCGGGTTCGCATTGGGCAGGTCCTAATGGAGACCGGACTCTCTCTTCCAGTGCTTCAGCCGACGGCGGCCCTCACAATCAGGTTGGACTTCCCGCCACGACCCCATCGGAGCCAGCTGTCAATCATCTGTCCTCTCCTTCCTCCACGTCGTCCCCCGCTTCTTCCTCCTCGCAAACAGTTACCTCAGGTGCGCCCCACGGCACCGGCCCGACCAAAGAGAGCGCCGCCCTACAGGCCAACGGTTCCACTGCCGCTAACCACCACAGCCCCGACCGCTCCAGCGCCTCCTCGCCCGCCTCGTCCCCATCGCCCCGCTGCGCCGCGCCGGCCGCCGTTAACGGGAGCGGAGGGGGAGCGTGTTCGGAGGACTCTCGGAGCCCGCTGAAGCTGGAGCCGCCGGAGCTCTGCATCAAAGCAGCTTTCAAACAGTCTCGCTCGTCCTCCACCGTCTCCATTTACCCCACATCCACAGACGTCCTGAAGGCCTGCAGGTACGCCGAGCTCCTGTGGAGTGATGAGAGCATCGGCGCCCTCTAGTGGCAGCCCGTTGTTTCAGAGCTCACCTTTGAATGCTAAACATTTCCTGATCATTTACTCACCCCCATGTCATCCTACATGTTCATGTCTGTCTTTGTCGCAAAGAAATTGCGTTTTTTTTTTTTAGGAAAACATTCCAGAATTTTTCTCCATATTGTGGACTTCAGTGGTGGCCAGTGAGTTAAACGTCTAAAATGCAGTTTCAATCAAAGTGCTATACACGACCCCAGCCGAGGAATAAGGGTCTTATCTAGCGAAACCATCAGTCATTTTCTGAAAAACTATTATATTTATACACTTTTTAACCACATAATGCTTGGCTTGCTCTGCGATGCGTGTCTTTATTAGCTGATGTTGGAAAAGTCACGCGTGACGTAGCACAGTGATGAACAACAATAAAACAACGATGTTGCATGATTTTAAAGTTGGAGGAGAAAATGAGATGAAGTTTTTAAACGAAGTACAAAGATGAAGAACTAACCACGTGTGACCTTTCCAACATCAGCTCATAAAAACATGCATCGCAGAGCTAGAGCAAGCCAAACATTTGTGGTTAAAAAGTGTATACATATTTTTTTGAAAATGACCGATGGTTTCGCTAGATAAGACTCTTATTCCTCGGCTGGGGTCGTGTAGAGCTCTTTGATTGAAACTGCATTTTAAACGTTTAACTCACTGGCCACCACTGAAGTCCACTATGTGGAGAAAAATCCTGGAATGTTTTCTTCAAAAAACATGATTTCTTTGCGACTGAAAAAAGATAGACATGAACATCTTGGATGACATGGGGGGGTCAGTAAATTATCAGGAAATGTTTATTCTGGAAGTGAACTTATGCTTCAATGCTGTTCAGGATCTGCTTCACACGCTGCTGACACACAAATCTTTAAAAACTGCTGATGGACTAAAATGTCTGGTTAAACATTTTGACTGAGTCTGGGCACAGATCTAACCATAACCACACACCAAACATGCTCTTTACGTTTGTTTAGAATCGCTGCTTTAATGTTGTTTGCACAGCGAGTGGCACAGCGTGTTTCTCTTTGAGCTCCTACGGGTTTAAAGAGGTCATATGCGATTTCAAGCTTTCCTTTGTCTTTGGAGTGTTACAAGCTGTTCGGGAATAGATAAGATCCATAAAGTTGCAAAGACTAAAGTCTCAAACCCAAAGAGATATTGTTTATAAAAGTTAAGACTCGTCCACGCCTTCCTAAAACGCCTCGTTTAAACACGCCCCACATATCTACATCACTGTGTGGGAAGATCTGCATAACACCGCACAAATGTTTACGCAAAGAAGGCGTAACTTTTATTCTCGCTGTAGTATTGTTGTCGTGGAGACGCTGTGTGTTTCCAAATCTGGTGAGGGGCGTAACATTTCAGTCACACGCTTGAGGAATTCGGCCAATCACTGCACACTGGATAGCTGGCCAATCAGAGCACACTGCGCTTTTCTGAACCATGAGCTTCGTAAAAATTTTCAGAGAGGAGCAACAATAATGTACAGTATGTGGACAATGTGTTTTGTTTTTTTTTACCTTAAACTGCATAAACATTGCATTACACCAAATACACAAAATAATGTTGTTTTTATGTGTCATATTTGATACTGTAAAGCTGCTTTGACACAATCTGTATTGTTAAAAGCGCTAAATAAATAAAGGTGACGACTTCTTAGCATTGTCATATGACCGCTTTAAAACGTTGGAATTAAAGGACAAACTGTGAGAGCTATAAGCGTGAGTGTTGATCAGTGCACTTTAATCACGTCACAGACAAAACTACATTCTATACATTATATTTTGGTGATGTCACGCATTGAGCTTGAACAAAAAAACGCAGGCGAAATGTGCAATATTATTTTAATTTTGACCACAGTGAGCTTCCGTAGACTTGAGGGTGTTGTGCGTCAGCAGGTGTTTGACTTTATTTAACATTTCAGCTACGATTCGTTTTTAAATATTGTTTTATTTTGCAGAAATAACTTTTTTCTTCATGTGTAATGTCACGCTTATTTACAGGAATCTTGGGAAGAACGGTCTGTCGAGCAGCAGTATCCTGCTGAACAAGTGTCCGCCGCCGCGGCTTCCTCCTCCTCCGTCACCGCCGCTCGCTAAAGACAAACTCAACCCGCCGACGCCGAGCATCTATGTGAGCAGCGCACGCGCGACCCTGCCTAGCAATAATTAACACTGCGTATATGTGATGCGTGTCTCTTTATAAATGTGTGTTTGTTCATGTTTCAGTTGGAGAATAAAAGAGACGCATTCTTCCCGCCGCTGCACCAGTTCTGCACCAACCCCTCCAACCCTGTCACCGTCATCCGCGGCCTAGCTGGAGCCCTCAAACTAGGTTAGAGCTCACTCACACACTCTCTCTCACACACACACACACACACACTCAACACACACACACAGACTCACACACACACACACACACAGACACAGACTCACACACACACACAGACACACGCTCAACACACACATACTCATACTCTCTCACACTCATACTCGCACTTACACACACACACACACTTACTCACACACACACACACACTTACTCACACACACTTACACTCTCACATACTTACACACAAACTTGCACACACAATACTCACACACTTACACACACATACTCGCACTTACACACTCATACTTACTCACTCTCACACATACACACACTCTCTCTCTCTCTCTCCCTCTCACACACACTTACTCTCTCTCTCACACACACACACTCAACACACACACACAGTCTCTCACACACTCATACTCGCACTCACACACAGTCTCTCACACACACATTCACATATACGCTCACACACACACACGCACTCATACTCTCTCAGACACGCGCACACACTCACACACTCTCTCACACTCACACACTCATACTCGCACTTACACGCGCACACACACACACACACAACTCACATACACACACATACACACTCAACACACACACACAGTCTCTCACACACTCATACTCGCACTCACACACACACACACACATTCACATAAGCTCACACACTCAACACACACACACTCTCACACACTCAACACACGCACTCATACTCTCACACGCGCGCACACTCACACACTCACACTCGCACTTACACACACACTTGCATACACAATACGCGCTCACACACTTACACACACATACTCGCGCAAACACACACTCTCTCTCTCTCACACAGTTGCACACTCATACTCGCACACACACTTACTCTCTCACACACACACACTCTCTCACACACTCATACTCGCACTCACACACACACACACACACACACACACATTCACATAAGCTCACACACTCAACACACACACACTCTCACACACTCAACACACGCACTCATACTCTCACACGCGCGCACTCACACACTCACACTCGCACTTACACACACACTTGCATACACAATACTCGCTCACACACTTACACACACATACTCGCGCAAACACACACTCTCTCTCTCTCACACAGTTGCACACTCATACTCGCACACACACTTACTCTCTCACACACACACACACACACACTCTCTCACACACTCATACTCGCACCCACACTTACACACACTTATTTACACACACTCACTCTCTCTCTCACACACACACACACACACAGTGAACCACGGTTTATCATTATTAAATAAGTGTACAGGGGTTGCGCATATCCTCACAGAAACTGATATATGAAAAAGGAAGGAAAGGAAAGGATGTGTGGCCAAGTATGGTGACCCATACTTGGAATTTGTGCTCTGCATTTCACCCATCCAAGTGCACACACAGCAGTGAGAAGTGAACAAACACACACACAGCAGTGAACACGCACCCGGAGCAGTGGGCAGCATATTGCTTCATCACCCGGGGAGCAGTTGGTGGTTCGGTTCTTGCTCAAGGGTCTCCCCTCAGTCATGGTATTGAAGGTGGAAGAGAGCGCTTGGTCATTCACAATCCCTGTCGGACCTGAGACTCGAACCCGCAACCTTTGGGTTACAAGTCAGACTCTCTAACCATTAGGCCACGACTGCCCCTAAAGTTACAGTCTGTGTGAGCTCGTCCAGATCGGTGACAACAGCTTCAAAAACACTCCAGTCAGTGAGGTCGAAACAGGCTTGTAAATCGCGCTGTGCTTCATTAGTCCATCTTTTTACAGTCCTTAAAACAGGTTTAGCTGATTTCAGTTGGTTCTTGCTCAAGGGTCTCCCCTCAGTCATGGTATTGAAGGTGGAAGAGAGCGCTTGGTCATTCACAATCCCTGTCGGACCTGAGACTCGAACCCGCAACCTTTGGGTTACAAGTCAGACTCTCTAACCATTAGGCCACGACTGCCCCTAAAGTTACAGTCTGTGTGAGCTCGTCCAGATCGGTGACAACAGCTTCAAAAACACTCCAGTCAGTGAGGTCGAAACAGGCTTGTAAATCCCGCTGTGCTTCATTAGTCCATCTTTTTACAGTCCTTAAAACGGGTTTAGCTGATTTCAGTTTCTGCCTGTAGGTCGGTATAAGATGAACCAAACAGTGATCAGAGAGCCCCAAAGCTGCTCGTGGGACGGAGTTATATTTATCCTTTATTGCTGTGTAACAGTGATCCAATTTATTGCTGTCTCTGGTGGGGCATGTAATGTGCTACTTGTATTTTGGTAGTTCACGGGAGAGATTTGATTTGTTAAAATCTCCAAGAATTATTTAAATAGAGTCTGGGTACCTTTGCTCCATTTCAGTAATATGTTCGGCCAGCTGTTGCATCGCAGCACTTACGCACGCGTCCAGAAGAACGTACACATTCACGAGAATGAAAGAGGAAAACTCCTGCGGCGAGAACAAAGGTTTACAGTTTAAGAATAGTGCCTCTAAGTTAGGACCGCATACCTTTTCCAGGGTTGTTTCATCTAATAGAAACACAATCCAGCACCTCTGGTTTTCCCCGTTAACTCCGCGATGCGATCCGCTCTGAACAGTTGGAAGCCCGGCAGATGAAGCATGTTGTCCGGAATGGCTTCACTCAGCCAGGTTTCAGTGAAGCACAGCGCAGCAGAGTGTGAAAAGTCCTTGTTGGTGCGGGTGAGAAGTTCATCCGTTTTGTTGAGAAGGGAACCGACATTCGCGCGATGAATGCTTGGCAGCGCAGTTTGAAAGCCTCGCGCGGAGCTTAACCAGCATGCTTCCCTCTTCTGCGTCTGCACGCGTGTTTCAACAACACAGCTGTACCTCCAACTAGAATGTCCAACAAAACTTCAGAATAATCAAAAAACGGAAAAATGTGTCCCTGCAGCACAAAAGCAGTGTTGAGTCGCTGGGGGATATTTGTAGCAATAGCCAACAATACATTGTATGGGTCACAATTATACATTTCTCTTTTATGACAAAAATCATTAGGATATTAAGTAAAGATCATGTTCCATGAAGATATTTAGTAAATGTCCTACTGTAAATATATCAAAACTTAATGTTTGATTAGTAATATGCATTGCTAAGAACTTCATTTGGACAACTTTAAAGATGATTTTTTTGCACCCTCAGATTCCAGATTTTCAAATATTGTCCTCTCCTAACAAACCACACATCAATGGAAATATTATTTATTGTGTAATGTGGATTCTTGTGGGAATGATGTGTTTCTGTGCGGTTTCCATGGCAACTATAAAACCGATTGAGACTTGCTTTGCTCCATTGTTGCACAGAATTCAAGGACGTTTGGCCGGTTTGCTGGATGAAATGCAAAATTCTCTGACTGATTTACAGCTCACACTAGTATTATAGATTAGTATTATTATAGTCATTAGTATTATACAAATCTTTTGACAGTTGTGAAGCTTTTCTCTGCAGTACTTGGTCTGTCACATTATCAAATCAGTTATTAGGTGCTATAATATCATATGACAATTTTAAACATTAGTTACATGTGCATAAATACACTTGACAGATGCTTTTATCCAAACTCGGAAGTGTGTAACGCAAGCTCTTCTTGCTATGCTGACTTGATTTCAGATTTACATTTTTAGTCCATGTGGTTCTAACATGTTGCCGCAGGGGGAAATTAGCATAAAATGGTCAGTTTTCTCTTTCAGGTCAAGTACTGTCATAGTGGAACAAATTTTGCGGAGTAAATTAAACTGTTGGCAAGTGTACAGCAACTAAGGATTCGTAATGACATTTGGTTTAATGACAGACATTTAGAGGAAGCGGTTTCAGCCTGAGGTTAGTTACGGCCACAGTCACAGACAGCTGGACATCCGTATATCTGTGTAGATGTTTCTGTTGTTCAGACTGGACACTGCTGCGTTCACAGTGTTAACAGATGTCTTTAATGCCACAGGGACGGGGTTCGTCTAGATACACTGACAGATGCTCAAAAGGAGACAGGAAGAAATAGATTTTTACATATAAATAACATTTATATATCGCAATTATATATCTTTTTGAAAGACTCTTCAGCAAAACTGGACTTGTTTTCCCTGTGTTTGACGGGTTCGAGTGTTCCTGTGGTGCCATCAGCCAGTCAGTGTTTTCTTGATATTATTTTCCTGTGATATTAGGGTTGTGCCGATAGTATCATGTATCGATGATCATCAGAGATATCGCCTGTGGCTGATGCCTTTGACGATAGCAAGATTTATTATTATTATTATTATTATTATTATTATCCGGCTAGTAATACTATCTACTTCATATTAGGGCTTATTTGTTGCATTATATTTATTTTTCCGTGTTTTTACAGTGTTGAGCGTCAATCACACACGACTATGCTGAGCTTATGAATGCAATGGCCAATCCGAGGCGTTCAGATGAGTCACCGCTGACTGAACTCTGACTCGCGAGTTCTCTCATAAACAACAGTGCAGATGTGAGAATAAGAGATTTATTCATCATACAGAGTAGATTCACTGATTATAACGGGAGTGTTTGTAAAGTGCATAAACTCACGCTAGACTGAGCTTGTGAGGATGTTTGGATGTAACTTACGATGTTTCTATTTATTTGTTAAATACAAATTCACGTTAGGCTGCTTTTAGCCGAATGCTGGAGTTGGTTCACATTCCGGCAATGAAGCGAAGTAAATACATAAATTAGCAGGATAATATCGTGTATCGCGATCTCACAGGCTGACGATAGTATGATATGAACATTGAGCATGTCGCCCAACACTATGGTATATGAAGCAAACGCTCATCCGGTGAGAGCGGCAGGTTTGTGTGGTCCGTACAGGTGTTCTCCGGGTGTTTCTGATCGGTGTAGTTGAACACCTGTAGGATCATGTTTGTATTCTCGGTCTCTGTAGATTTGGGCCTGTTCTCCACGAAGACACTAGTAGAGGCAAACCCGGAGCACCTGGTGGAGGTGCGGACGCAGCTGTGTCAGCCGGCCGATGAGAACTGGGACGCCAGCGGTCTGAAGAAGCAGTGGCGCTGCGAGAGCATCCGCTCCTACACCACCATCTCCACATACGCACAGTACCAGGCCTCGTCCTTCCAGGAGTCGCTGCGGGTGAGACGCACGCGCACAGATCGCAGCTCATTACAGCTAGCATTAGAGCTGGGGATCCAATACCAGTCCCATTTGACAACCGGAGATGCGTGCGCCTTTCAAGTCTGCTTAACAATTCCTGCGTTCGCATTTTAATGTGATATAAAACTATTTAAGCGCAGGAACGGAAAGAACTTGTTTGTGTACAGCGCAGACGTATGTAGCATATAGCATGTCATGATAGAAAATTTTGGCCATATCGTCCAGCCCTACGTTAGCACAATGATCGGTTACGTGTGGCATTTTGCATATTAAATAACCGTGTTTGTGTGGTTTCAGGAAGAGAATGAGAAGAAGGGCCAGAAGGAGCTGTCAGACTCTGAAGCGACGTCATCAGAAACGTGAGTGTCGCTCGCCTAACGTCCGCTGAAGTGCTTTAGCAGCGCTGACGTAACCCTGCGCTTACTCTCTCCCGTCTGCTCAGTGTTCCCAGGAGGCGGAAGGGTCCTTTCAAACAAGTCAAGTTTGGGACGAACATTGACGTCTCCGATGAAAAGAAGTGAGTTTTCATGAGGTTTCCTTTTTGCACTTCTTGTCAAGTTGTTTGTGATTGCAAGCAGTAGGGGTGTGCTATATTGACCAAATATTATATCTCTACATTTTCTGAGATTTTATTGACAACGATAATTAGACTATATTGTGCTGATATCTTAAGGACTGTCGTGGACAGCTGACTCCTAAAGTTTTTGATATTCTTCATATTCTGTGTGATGGTGATAGAAATTAATCTTTTTCAACAAGTTTTAATTGATTTTTACCTTTTATGGGCATTTTCTACCTATAAAGCCATTTTCTTTCTGAAAGTGTGCATAATCTTTTTAGTCAGATTTTTACGTTTAATCAGTCAATTAGAATAATAAGACATTTGGGCTGTTACCATACAAATGAAATCAGTATCAACTAAATTAATCTTAGCAATGCAGAGGAGAAACAGAAGTCTGAAGAGGCATTTAGATGTGTTTACACACTGTTTAATGCAGCTCAGAGGAACATGAATGCTTTAACCTGCAGTTACAAATACATAAATAATATTTTGATATTTTAAACACAAAATAAATGTGTTTATTTATTTAAATGTGAAGTTAAAACCGCCAGCAGGTGGCAGCAAGTCACTGTTAATAAGTGAGTCACTGCGAATCGAATCATTTAAACGAGTGATTCATTCAGGAACGAAACACCGTCGTGTTGCTCAGAGACACAAAACAGCGCTGTGGCTGTGTTTGGAATTATTTTTGTTGTTGAAATAGAGCAAAAACAGGCAATATGGTGTCTAACCCGTAAGTCTCTTAATTAACTTCTAGTTTATTGAACTATTGTAAAAAAATCTATATCACATTAGTAATCCTGCTGATTTTTAGAGAAAAAACACCACTCTGTGATATTGATTAACTATATGAAATGATATAAAAATATAAATTTTCTGCCCCCATATCCTAAATGTTTTAATCGTTTTAAATGCCTTTTAATAGTCTAACCTAGTAGACTTCACGTCATGTATGTGTGCACTGTTTTTTTTTTTCTTCTCGATAATGTCAAATCACACATCGTTAAAAAAACAATGACGACATTATCGCAGACGATGTATATCGCACACCCCTAGCAAGCAGTGATTTCAGATTTCCTGAGTTTAACATGTCTCTGAATGCAGTTTACGAGGCTGTGAGAATGACAGTCCACAGCTTTACTGTAATGTAAGTCTGCCAGTCAAATAAAGCCGAGGCGCTGCCCCCTGCAGGTGGAAGCTGCAGCTGCAGGAACTCAGTAAGCTGCCTGCGTTTGCGCGTGTGGTGTCTGCCGGGAACCTGCTGAGTCACGTGGGGCACAGCATTCTGGGTATGAACACGGTCCAGCTCTTCATGAAAGTCCCAGGCAGCAGAACTCCAGGTGAGACGCCGCTGTTATCGTGACGCTTCAGAAGCGCAGTCAAACCAGTCTGTCGCAGCCGGTCACGTGATCTCTCTGTTCATGTTCAGGCCATCAGGAGCATAATAACTTCTGCGCCGTCAACATCAACATCGGGCCGGGCGACTGCGAGTGGTTTGCCGTGCCGGAGCCGTACTGGGGCGTGATGAGCGAGTTCTGTGAGAAGTATGTGCACGGCTCTTGTGAACGTTTCGTTAAATCGTCTGACGGATCTTAATGTGGCTTCTGTTGATATTCAAGAGTCTCTCTTTCAGGAACAACATAAACTTCCTGAAGGGCTCGTGGTGGCCGAATCTGGAGGATCTGTACGAGGCTAACGTGCCGGTGTACCGCTTCATCCAGCGGCCTGGAGATCTGGTGTGGCTGAACACGGGGACGGTGCACTGGGGTCAGGCCATCGGCTGGTGCAATAACATCTCGTGGAGCGTGGGCCCTCTTACCGGTGCGCAGATGTTCAGCCTGGCTCTCTGCATGTTTCTGGCTTGTTGTGTGATTGTCATGTTTGTCTGTTTCCTGCAGCGTATCAGTACAAGCTGGCCGTCGAACGTTACGAGTGGAACAAACTCCAGAGTGTCAAATCTATGGTTCCCATGGTGCATCTGTCCTGGAACATGGCGAGGAACATTAAAGTGTCCGACCACAAGCTGTTTGAGATGATCAAGTGAGTGTGGCGTTTCCTCGATCGATGTTAGGGGTGTTGAAATTAATCGTGTCTACGAAATACTATTTCACGTTAACAATATATTTCACAACATAGTCATTAATATATGTAGTTATTCTGAAAATCGACAAAAAGGACTTTGTATAATAACTCAAATACTTCAGAAAGGAAAATTGCTTCACCTTTTTTTTCTTCTTTTATTTGGTAAATTATTACTATAAATTAGTTACAAAACACTTATAGATTTTTCTTGCCACCAACTGATTGGCATTAAATGCAACTTGTAGGTTAAATTAAACTTTGAATAAGGAGTTTCTAAAGTATTTTTAAATCTAATGTTGTTTTTCTTCAAACAGCTTATAACCTCTAAATATTCATAATAAATTGCATTTACTTCCTTTTAATTTTGTAAGATACTATTAAAGGGCACCAATTATGCCCTATTTTATAAGATTGTAATATTGGTCTTGGGTGTCCCCAGAATGTGTCTGAAGTTTCAGCCCAAAATTCCCCACAGATCACATATTATAACAGCTGGAAAATGTCATTTTTGGGGTGTGTCTAAAAAAGAGCTGTTTTGGAGTGCATCACTTTAAATGCAAATGAGCTGCATATTCCCGCCCCGTCTCCAGAAGAGGCGTAGTGTAAATGTCTTATATTACCTTGAAAAATGAGAGTAATACACAGCGTCCTCGGCAGCTCAGATGTTGGGAGAAAATGAAGACTCTTATGTTCAGTCTTGCATCCAAACACAGAGCCCCGGGATTGCTTGCGCGACACTGTTGACGTTACAGCTGCTCGAGAGCGGAGAACATGAAGAACCGCGTAATCAGCTGCTGTGGGCGGGGCCTAAACAATGTGATGTCACACTGCGTGAGAATCAAAACAGCAGGTCTAGTGACACTGACTTGGTTTAAAGGGGATTAAAAAATGAGTGGGTGGATTTTTATCATTGTAGGGTGGTTGCATTCACACACTGCCAACACACATTTATGTCCAAACAAGTAAAATAGGTGCCCTTTAATACTAGTTATATTGTTTAAATTTGTTCCCTGGAATCTACCTATTATACTGTGTTTTTAAGGGGCTTGTTTTGCTTTTCTTTGTGATAACTGGCAACCCTTCACCTGGAGCTTTATTCAAGAGAGGGAAGAGTTAGTGACTAGAAAGGAGAGCAGCAGTATGCATACTGAACATCAGCTAGACAGCTACTGTTAGAGACGAGTCTAAGAAGTTTAAACTATACACACCTTACATTTTGACTCGCACGGTGAAGACTGACATGACGCGTGTGTGTGTGTGTGTGTGTGTGTGTGCGCGCGCGCATGCATCGTAATAATGCGATCGCTTCATTTGAGCATCAAGCTGAGACTAGAGAGAATTGCGGTGGCAGGATAGTGTTTCAGTGTTTTACTGTAGATATGCTTTCATTTCTGTCGTTTGGAGGGCAGTACCTATTAGATGCACAAACTCACGTACTGACAGACTTTCGCTGTGCTTTGTGTGTGTGCTTATCCTGAAGCTCGATCGCAGCTGGGTTAAACACACTTGCGTCTCTGAATACTTGTATGATAGGAACTTGATGTAAACACTGAGTTATGTTTTCAGAACAGCACAAAACATCTGATATGTGGAAGCAGATCTGTGCATTAGTGTGAATGCAGTCGATTAAAGCTGCCACTGTCTGTGATCTCAGCAGTAATAATCAAACAGCAATAATGCTGAGGGAAAAAGATAAACCCATAACTATTGACTGTCTGTAAACCTTCGGATTCTTAGAACACTCTCAGATACTGAAAGTACGTTTTGTTAATCACTTGTAATCGTCTTTTCCCCCTTTATTACTTTATATTGGCTTGTATGTTTTGAAGCTATTTTTAGTTGGTTAAATTCTTAACTATTGTTTTGATTTATTATTCATTTGTAATTATTTTAAAGAGTAGCCTGCTTATGTAATTTAATGAAAATGCACAAAATAAATTTGATATGAAAAATGTAACCATGTGCTGTAATACTGAATATTGAGGATGAGACGCATCGTGATATCGAATCCTGACTCCAGTGAGGATTCACACTCCTAATCCTAGTCTCTGTCCCCTCTGATGATCTGGATCGAATGGTAAAACATGTCTCTGGTGCACAGGTTCTGTCTGCTGCGGACGCTCAAGCAGTGTCAGACGATTAAAGAGGCGCTGGTGTCTGCTGGGAAGGAGACGGTCTGGCACAGAAGAAGCCGAGATGAGCCGGCTCATTACTGCAGCATCTGTGAGGTGAGTGCTGGACTCTACAGCAGAATAACTGTCCGCGCTCATCTGAATCACGCTCCTGTGCTGCTGTGTTCCAGGTGGAGGTGTTTAACCTGCTCTTTGTGACGAGCCACAGTTACTCCAGGAAGTCCTGCGTGGTTCAGTGTCAGGATTGCGCTCGGAAGGCCAGCAGCGAGCTCGACGGTTTCGTGGTGCTGCAGCAGTTCAGGATGGAGGACCTCATGCAGGTTTACGACCAGTTCTCATTAGTAAGTCGCTTTATTTGACTGAATATGCCGTTTATGTACTAGAGTGTGTCCTTTTGTTCGTACAGCAGATTAACTAGTGACTGTTCAAGCAGCGTTTGCAGGTTTAGTCACGGTTTGTGTCTGAATTGAGACATCACTGGCTTCTGTGTGTGAGTCATGACATGAGCAGCGTGCAGGGTTGGAAAGGTCATGGAAATTTATTGGTTAAAAATGTGTATAAACCCTGAGCATGAATAACGCTCTGCGCTCACCTTGTGTTTTGTAGGCTCCTGCTCTGCATTCGTCTTCATCTTGACATTAAGACGCTGTACATGTGGAGAATATCGCATTACAGGAACTCTCTAAACGGACCATTTCTGATATTCAGGACCGTGGCGCTCGTCTCTCGCGTGGCTGGGGACCATCGGAGAGCACGGGACCGTCGACTCAAGTGGCTGTGTGTGTCTATGCAACCTGTTTATAAACTGCAGCGTGTGACTGTGGCCTGCGGGGGGCGCTAGTGAGGAACTTCCCCTCTACACACCTCTTCCTGAACGGCCGCTCGCCTCTGCTTCACGTGAGAAATTAATCACAAAAACTGGGGAGGAATTTATGGGAAACTGGTTTTGTACATATTGTCTGTCACAACCGGCATCGTCACTTACAGACTACTGACTTGAGACGTTCTTTTTGTATTTTGTTAACATGCTGAAACCTGAAATCTCTTTCCTCGTGTCTCAAGGCTTCGCCTTCACGGAGCGCTAGCCTAGCTTTTTGTACGGTAGATAGCGATTTTACGACGACTTTGGATGGCAAAATCTACAAAAAAAAAAAATATTTGTAATGTGAAGAATTAGGTGATATATAATTTTTTACTGCTTTTATGTTTGACCTGTCTCGTTCTTTTGACACCATGTTGGATATTTTGTTTCTTAGGTAAGAAAAAGGAAAAAATTGTGGAAAAAAACATAACAGCCAAGTCACAAAGAAAATGGGTTGCACATAGAGTAAGGAATAAAGTTTAAATGGTCTGTTTTTTTCCTTCCTTGTTTGTTTCTAATCCTGATGTACATTTACACTATTTATAAATACCTATTTATTGCTTGAAGATATTTGTGGATGGAATGCTGTTATTTTTCCCAGAGTACCTGCCATTAAATTTGAAGGAGTTTGGTCATTTAAACTACTCCTGCATTTTTCTATATAGAATTAAACCGCTTAGTAAGCATTGTACAGAAACTATAAAATTGTTTTATTGTTTGAAGAATGTTTTATGAGTTATTAAACAAGTTGTCAACATATGTGCCGACACGTGGAGATCCTTCTCTTGGCCTCCTCTTAAATCTGTATGATTGCAAAAAAAAATGTTTGTATACAGTGACAATTGTCAAGTGTTTTGAAATATTAGTTTATTTTAAAATGCTCGTTCCCTTTTAAAGTTTTTTTTTTTTTTGTGTTGTTGTTGTCGGACAAGACCTGCAGCCTTGCTAGAAGATTCGCAACAATACCCCATTCACTATCACTGTATACAGTAATTAAGTCACACTCATGAGGTCTGTTACTATTGAACAGGCCTTTTGAAACCTCCAGAAAGGTTCAAGTTCATCTGCGTTCACTGACAAACATTTACAAATGGACTTCTTGTTTACGTCTGACGTGTAGCGTGTCTGCTCTTAACGAGTGTTCCTCGGTGAGAAGACGTTCCTCCAGAAGTCTTGTGCTTCAGGAGCCGCTTGAATGTGGTTTGGTCTTCTGAGTGTGTGTGTGTGAGAGAGAGAGAGTGTGAGAGTGTGTGTGTG